GTTACCCCCCAGGTCCGAGAGCGCTGGCGCGTCCTATGATTCTACCACGCAGTCACCAGTTCGGCTCTCGAACTCCACTTCGAGCGATCGTCCAAGCATAGACGGATCAGTAGACTCGCGACCACATTCTCCAGCCTCTTCGACGACATCCGCAGATACGGTCGTCATGGACACTGCAGATACTATCTTCCGAAAATTGAACGACCGGCCCAACCAAGGAGCATGGGGAGCGGATGCTCATGCTGTTCAGGCGCCTGCTGAGAACAATTTTGGCGACGTGCCCGACTCACATGACTTCCTTTTCCAACCCCAACCTGTTTTAGAGCGCCGACAAAGCGAACCGCTCGCCATCTACGAGTCGCCCTTGGATGCATCGTCTATCCCACATTATGCCCCTCAGCGACCAGTCCAAAACTTCAGTCGGCCAATGGCAACCAAGGGCCCACCGCCAGTTCAGCGATCTACACACATGCCGCACTATAGGAGGACACCGTCAGCCCCAGCGTTACCAACTTTGTACGAAGCGTCGTTAGCCAGCACTGATGATCTTCGAGAGGATCGCGATGACGACGACGATGATTCGTATTCCATTGCTCCATCTACTATTGCGCCATCCGAGCTCTCCAAGCATTGGTACGAGTCTCCACGTGAACGTCTAGGTCTTGGTAGGCGACTTCAGATCAATGACGTTTCACCATGGGAGGAGCAGAGAGGGGCCGCAGGTAAGCCCAAGAAAAGTCGGTTGTCAATGTTTGGGAAGGCGGTGTCGAGAGGATAGGCTTTGCGGGCAAAGCTCGCGCATTGACTGACTCCCAGTGGGTAGCTTCGTGCGAACCTGAGCGATCATCGTCCGGTGCTACAAAAACACTCGGCTCCTGATACGCCAACTTGTGTACAAACTTTTGCGATTAGCGATATCCAGCATACCCCCGCTTCGGCGACTTTCTTGTACGGCGGCATTTCTGAACGCCAGTTTCTCCAACATAGATACCCATTTCACGAATCTTACCAATCTGCTCTCTAATGGCTACATCAACACGCATCATTCCCTCAGGTAACGTAATAATTAATTTCTTTACATACGTGTGAGCCTCGTTGCGAACGCGATCTCATGGAGTTGTGGGGAAACATGGCGCGAATCGCGCGTGGAATCGAAGGTTTGACGCAAGGCACTACACAATCACACCATAGGGCTTACTATAGTGCCACGTTTTGCGTCCATCGCACGTATCTCATGCAAGCCCCCATCTCACTAGTCCATCTTCTCGAACCCTATATTGCTTCTGCCGTGGTTCTTCAGCCCTGGTCTAGCGTGACTGTTTGCCGATCGACAAGCCCGTCGAAACCTTAACGCCATAATCCACTCCCTTGCAGTATCGGAGCGAGCACGCCCTCTTACCATTCTCTTTGACAGGCTTAATGTGATTCGCCTAGCGGACACTTATTCCAATCCAGCTCACACGTCATCTAGGTCGATCAACTCGATCTGCTCGCCGAGCAAGTCAATCCAAAACCAGATCACACGAACCATCGAAACACCATACCAATAGTTTGACGCTGGTTGTCGCGAAGTGCGCTTGCATCAGATGTTAACTCCTTTGGCGGACATGCTCGAGTATCTAGCACCGGCGGCTCCGTTCAAAGGCCCTTTTCTGGTCAGCCTATGATTGCCGACATGCTCCCGCTAGATTTAGCTTTCTCCAGATCATCGCATGGCGCAGCATGGTACTCCCTTGTGCTGCTAGCTTGATCGACAGGGCAGACGCGTCCACACCCCGTATTCCTAGGGTACCCACGATCAAACGTTATACAGTCACAACCCCGGTTCGGGTGCAAATACGAGATATTGTGGATCTTTCCAGCCAGTACAAAAGCAGAATAAGAACCTTAGCGAGGAATAAAACCTCCTAAACAAGGGCTTATTTGCTTAATAATCTTCTTTACTAGGGTTTTAGCGGGGCAGGCAGGGGAATTAACAAATCAGATCTTATAATTTGGCTTGAACTCGTATTTGCACCCGAACCGGGGGTGTGACTGTACGTGATTCCGGAAGGGCAAGCGACTGCTCATTTCTGGATCCAATTGAGCTTTGAAGGGGTCAGTAATCTGTTGCTGTAAACTCTGAAGCGGTTGCCATGGCCGAAGTGTGCGCGAGCTTCAACATCTGGAAACGGAAAGCTGCGGCGCAGAGCATGGCACATGGAAGAGCCCAGTCATGGAAATGGTTCAGTCTCGGTAGCGTTTTCAATTCTAAAGAGAAGGCAGTGTGGAGGAAGATTACCCATGACACTGCGAGTCGCTGTTCATAGAGGCGGTGGACAGTGCACCTCATCCAAGAAACAAATAGCGAACAAGCCGGGAGCATGCATAGAAGCTGGGTCACTTGCTCTACATCTTTCCAAGTTGATGTAGGTTGCAGACCCTGTTTAGTGTTTTTCTTTCCTAGGTTGACCTTATTCACAGATATCGACTGCCAGAGCAGAACGCAACATGGAATGTGTGCCGATCAATTTTGATAGGACGCCACTCAAAGTGCTCAATATTTAATGTTCCTTTGCTTTTTTGCGTTTATTCCGATTGCTGTCCTTGCCACCAACATTAACTCATGTCTAGTCTTTTTCGGTGAATGTTTTGATGTTTAAGAGACCGCAGGAAAATATAGAGCAAAACTGATGGAGAGCTCTCACAGACATGGGAGTTGCGTTCTCTGGTTTTTGCAGGCGCTACCGACCCCCAGGCAACATCGATATATCGCATCGCATTTTTGGTAATTTGTTATTCATGTGCTCGCTGAAAGAAGAAAGAGCCGTGGAAGGGATGCTCGAACAGATAGAAGATAGCCTGCGCGAGAAGATCTCGGCGATGTGGACGTTACCGTCAACGGTCTGAATACGATATGCTGATGCGAAATTTTGGCGATGGCAGATTACCATCGGTATGTGCAGTATGCGATTTGTTCGAAATAACCCATTTTTTGTATGCAGGTATCCAGGGACGTCAGGCAGCACATAGAACTCTTGTAAACACTTTTTGAAGGACGAGGAGCGAAGGAAGAGCCACGGGGCATAGTCCTTGGGACTTTGGAATCGTAAGGAATGGATGTGTTAATAAGGAGTACGAGAAAGCAACACTATTTGGACTTTTATATGCCTTGCCCACAGCAGGAACACATGTGAACCAAGGAAAAGTCTCAGAAGCTGCACTGTCCCTCCTTGAAGAAGGGTTTGTCGGCGTTTTCGCCGACTCGGCGCTGGAAGCGTGCTCTTTCCAACGTAACAATCCCTTCTTCACAATATGATCCCCATCAAGGTCCTTGCATGCCTTTGGCGTGTTGAGCACGCAATTAAGGTAGCCCTCATTGCGGCCTTCTTCATGGACCTGCTTCAAGGTCTTGCCCCTGTGCTTGCTCGTCTTCAAAATGTAGTGTGTATATGGGTCGTTCGTGGCTCGAGTGCGGTACTCCTCATCGACTTCGTTTCCAAGGGTCTCGTTGACAGGAACGAAGCTGTTCTTGTTTGCGTTTGACGAGTTGGCCCATGCCTTCTTCGGTGTCCGGTATGCTGGCATCTTCGGTCGCGCAATACAGCGGGTACGATACGGGGGCTAACGCAGAAGCGTCGGCAGCGGTGGGGCGGTGGTCGTGCCAGGAATATCAACCTGACTATGTCATCGTACCGACTTTCCACAAGGTGTACACGAGTAGTAGTGCGCGTACTGCTGCGAGCGTATGTCAATGAATTGAATGAAAGCGGTCGAGTCGAAGACAGTTGCGAAGTTTATGATTGTTGAGTCTGCGACGCGACCGCGGGAAGGACGGACTGCCCAGGTGGTGTGCCGCCGCGCGAAACCCTGGCTGTGACGCACCCCGGTTCATCACCAATGCTGCAATCGGACTCTCGACGGCTGTATACATCAAGTTGCTTGTGAGATCGACAAGAATGCTATCTGCAGTTTCTTTGTTTTGCATCATGCCTATGACTTGTATGCGTTTGGCTAATCAGCGACGTGTCTCTCTGATCATGAATCATCTTTGCGATCCACAGGCAATGCGCACAGCAGCCATCGCCGTGACAATCGAGAAGTTGGAGGCATATCGCGACGTTTTTCAGGAAACTTGAACAATAGAATCTTACACTCGATAGCAGATCGAGATCCTACATATCCGTTCTTCACAAAACGATAGGTACCTAAGTGCGAGTTTTCTTGGAGCATGCCAATCACCATTGATCAGTTGCGTCTGCATCGCAGTGCTCAGCCTTGCTTTTTTTTAGAACAGCTAGAAGCATTCAAGCCTGAGGAGTATGTGTACCTAGGTAGAGTCAGTGTTCTCGTGTTGCAAGCGTGCAGAAGAGACATCTGGAAGCTGATTTCGGAAGGGGCACAGCTTGTCGACCCAAGCCTAAACGAGCTAGTCAGTCGCGAAACCCACGTTTTCACGCGAGATAACCGCTGGTTTCAGACAATATGACGTCGCACGCTACGCGTCTTGTGAACCCTTTGTTTGACCCCCATCATTCTAATAACACCCCGGAGCTGAATACAATCTACTACCTTGCATCATGGCGGGCGAAGCTGAGTCTTCCGTGGCAGCACCGGCGCCTTACTACATTTCGAAGTCGGCTATCTGTACAGGTAACGGAGTATTCGCTAACCGAAGGTTTGGTTCGGGCGAAGAGATCGCAAGCTTCACGAGGCCTCTTGTTGCTTCTTTGGATACGGAACGGCTACTCGATACCTGTGCGAATTGCTACCTCTGGACTGAAGGCTCCTCAACTGGAACGAGGTTGTATGTACCGGAAGGCGCAAAAGTGAACAAGTGTGCTGCATGCCAGATATTTCGCTACTGCAGTAAGGTACGTCGAGCTATCTGTCTGTATGCTCGTAAAATTAATATGCATCAGACATGCCAAAAGGACGCATGGAACCGGGGACATAAGCATGAGTGCAAGATGCTGAAGCCAACGGCTGGTAGACCCCTCCCCAAAGCCTTACTTGCATGTATGGAACTACTCATTAGGCGAAAGCATGGCCTGATTTCTGATGAAGAATGGGAGCTGCTTTGTCGCTTGCCTTCGCACCTTGACGACTTCAAGCGGAACGGAACCTACGAGAATATCGAACTTATGGCTATGGGTGCCGGTCAGTTCTCGTTGTCGCAAAATCTATTCGACAAGGACTTTATTGCAGCGATGTATGGTCGAGTAAGTCTGTAATGAACTCTTCTAACTCTCTCACTGACTCGCATAAAGGTAATGTCAAATGCTCTGACACTGATCACACCTACATTAGATCCTCTAGGTATCATGATCGACCCCACACTTTGCCATATGAATCACTCCTGTAACCCGAACGCATACATCATGATGGATGGCCCGCGAGTAAGCATTCGTACACTCCGACCCATCAAGAAAGACAAAGAAATATACATTTCGTACATTGATGCTACGAATCCCTACCACAGGCGACAAGAAGAGCTCCAATCCCGCTGGTTCTTCACCTGCCGCTGCGCCCAATGTCAGGAAAAGGCGACTCTCCAGGAAGACAACTGGCTGGTACCATCAAGGCCTGGATGGGTATTGGGAGCCGAAGTCAAGTCTATGGCAGAAACACAGGAAAAGCTGTTTGGTCTCTATGCGGAACTCCAAGCAACGGATAACCCCCTGCTTGTTAGAGGAGCGATCAGGCAAGCACTTAAAATATGCCATGAGGCGATGTTTCTGCCGGTTTATCGACAACCATATGCTGCACTTCGCGACGACTTGATTGTAAACCTGCTATCCGAGGGACGTTACCAGGACGCATGGGTACAATGTGCAAAGCGGTACAAGTACATTCTTCCCAAACTCTACCCAGTCTCGTTCCACCCGGTCCGGGTAGTACAGACATGGCAAATGGCGATGTTGGCCGCATACCTAGCAAGTACTCAAGAGGGAGTAGGATCACCGGAGGTAAACATGGGTCTCATTGCCATGATGCTGGTAAAGCAGGTGTTGAATGTAACGCACCTGAGCCATGGGCCGGCCAGTGCATTCACAAAGAGTGTAAAAGCCAAAGCGGAAGAGATGACAGAAGAACTCAAGAGGAGTATTGGAAACGCGAACAGTGACGTCATGAACAGGGAGCTTGAGGTTCAGAGAGACAGGCTGATGGAGATGGGGGATTGGGCTCAGGACGGCCAGATAGAGGAACGGGCGAAGATTTTAACTCTACACGAGAAAGCCTTCAGTGTATGTTGATACAACTGATCAAGGGATCAGATCTATCACTACTGTTTGGTATATATTGCTGGATGGCCTGCGAAAATAACATATTGCCAATATGCAATCTCACATTCACTATACATCAGATTTTCCCACCTGCTCACTCCGATGTGGACAGTCGCATGAATGGCTAGAATGGAGGTAGGCTACATTATCCTGCTTTTGCGTGGCCTAGGAAAACGCTGTCTTTCTCCAGCTTCTAGTGGGGTATGGTTTTACCTTCTCTACGTGAAGTTGAGTGGTGAACCTGTCCAAAGCCCCACAAGCTCTCACCGTCACCACCGCTTTGCTTAGACAGCGACTTCTCTCACTACGCCGGTGCAGTAGTAAAGCGCCTGCCTATTTCAGCTCGTCCTCTGGCTTTCCACTCCGTCCTCTTGACAACGCACTGCAAGCTCCATCCTTTCACATCGCCTTGCTTCAACGCGACTACCCCAGTACAGCAGCATACAACTACAAGTCCTACTACTCTTTACCTTTATAACTTCCACACGATCTTCCGCACCCATGCCTCCCAAAGTTGCCACCGAGAACGGCCAGAAGGTTGTACCAGCCGACTGCGTCTCCGTCCTCCTTATGGCTCTCGGTAGCACTACTATCTCTAAGGCGCAGTATGACATGATGTCAGCGCTCGACGGCACGCGCACTGCGAGCTCATTTGAACATCAGTTCCGCACGATCACGGCCAAGGCCAAGGAGCTGAAAGCTCGTGCTGAACAAGGCGAGACTTTCCAGCCTGTGGCACCGGCCAAGAAAGGTGGTAAGTGTTTACAATCCTTCACACCACGCTGGTCAGACTTCTACCGACGCGAGAATAACATTGAGCAGGTCAGACTACCTCAGGAACACCCAAGGCACCTGCTAGGAAGAGGAAGGACATGTCTTCCGGCTCCGAGGATGCTACACCGTCGAAGAAGACCAAGACTCCTAAGCCCCGTGGCAAGAAGGCTCAGACTCCCCTGGAGGATGCCATTGAAGAAGACTTTCCCGATGACGCTGAGGAGTTCATCAAGAGTGAGAAGAAATGGGAGGACGAAGTCTTCGCCTGAAATGGTCAGGCGGGTGCATACAGACAGGATATGAGATGGTGTGGCATGAAGAAGCTTGTGGTTTGCAGACTACACTACGACACAACAAGCAGATTGAAAGATCTGGTGTCAATGTAGGCTCCAGAGGGGTCGGACTTTTTCCTGTATGGGGTGCCTCCATGAAAAATGCGGTGAAGCCAGATGCACACTCATGGATGTGAAGGGGATTGATTATAAGGATCATCAACGATCTTCCTTAGTAAATGGAGCATTTCTCTACGTCCTCATCGCTCATGACTTGTGTCGTGAACTTCAGCTTTCATAACGACATTAGCCCTCCAGGACACAACCAGCCGTAATACATGAATGGGGAGCCTACAGCACCATGAGATCGATGCCGCAAGGTTCTGTCAGCGAGATGTACGCCCTACAGGATACTCGCTACATCCATACACATATGACATCGTCCAATTAATGCCGGTCATTTGCGTTTCAGTGAATTTCTTGCCTTTCTTGGTCTCAACGATGCCGATGCTGGGCGTGCATGCGATTGTCTGGAAGAATGTAATAATAACATGATCCAGCTTACCATAAGCAATAGGCGCATGCTGCTAATATGTGCGCAGACAGCATGATCCTGCTCGACATAGCGCTCTGACATATCCAATGCGCGTATGCATCTACCAGCTGCGATATGATCTTTTGAACGATAGTCACCGCTTCATTCTCCAACTTTGCATCTTGCTGCCGGTCATTTTCGTCAAGGCCAGCCCACAGTCAAATCTCCTTTGAGTGGGGCCCAAATCTCGGGCCGTCTGCACACCCATCTGTTCCGTGCTAAAACCGTAGGCTCATCACCGGTGTCGCACCGACCACCCAAGTCTCGCCCCTAGGCTGGCAAAGTCGTCCAGGGAAGGTCGTAGATCGCAGTCATGTCGGCGCATATCGATAGGGGGAGATCAAGGCGTCGATTGGAGTCGCCCTGGCGGAGGATGACGTCGCCCCCGGCGGTTAAGGTCATGTGCGAGACCGGCGTTCGCATAAGGTGGTGGTGGAGCTGACATCCATGGATGTTAGGCGAGGCAAAGTTACAGAAGATGGCAGGTGCCGGGGGTGGCCGAGTAAGCAGGGGAGACCTTGGCGCCAATGCAGGTACGGCTTCGACGCCTGTAGTTTGCGCCAGCAACTTTACTCAACATCCAAACCTCGAATGGCAGTCTGCCACCATCTTCTTGTAGTCTGCATCGACACCTCGTGTTCCTGCGCGGTTATGCGGCAGCAGGATGGCAGCAAGGCCCCTGAATTTTCCCCGGATTATTGGGTGGCTTCCTCCTAACCTCCAAGCAGCTTAGCATCGTGGCACGGCGGCCGTTGGTGTGCTCCTCATGCGCCGGGATGCATCGTCGGTGAGTGGCTCCTGGGCTAGACGCTCGCTATGATCCTAGGCGAGATGCTTCGAGGGCTGTGCGAGAAGAGGGAAAAGGGGGCTCCTAGCCAAGCGTCTCACTGGCGAACGGCCGATTGGGCGCATGAGCATCTTCATCCATTAGCTCCAGAGCGAGCTATACTGCTTTCGTCCGGCAATTTTGCATCTTCTGCCGTCGCTTTGGCGTCTCGATCCGGTCCAGGTAGCCGTTGGGTGTCAGCGTATTCTTTATTATACCCCGTCGCCCACCGTCGTCTTTTCTTCTTCACTCTCACGTCGCACTATCGCTGTACACAGTCACTCGTTCTTTATCCAACTACATATACCCATACAGCTACTACAGTTCTAATACTCTAATCACCAATCCAACTACCGTCACCATGCGCTTCTTCGAGACCATCCTTTCCGCCGCGGCCTTCGCTGCCGCTGTTGCTGCCCTCGAGATCAACGACTTCCCTGCTGAGGGTGTTGTTGCTGGCCAGACCTACACCATCACCTACTCCCCCGCGGACGACACCCCCACCACCTTCATCCTCCGCCAGGGACAGTCCACTGACCTCGACACCATTGCCACTCTTACCAGTATGTGCCCGAACTGACAGCGATATGATCTTCCAATTCTAACTGAACTCTAGCTTCCGCCACCGGTGGAAAGTTCGAATGGACCCCCACCAAGTCTCTCGTCAACGAGCCCGACTACGCTCTCCAGATCCAGCAGGGAACTACCATCAACTACTCCGCTCAGTTCCCCCTCTCTGGTGGCGCTGAGGAGGATGACTCTCCTGTCTCCTCTGCCGTCTCCTCCGCCATGGCCTCTGCTTCCTCTGCTACCGCATCTGCTGCTTCTTCCGCCTCTGCTGCCCTCAGCAGCGCCATTGAGAGCGCCAAGTCCAGCATGATCACCAGCGCTGCCTCTGCTTCCGCCACCATCAGCCCCTCCGCTGGCGTCAACTCCACTGTCACCTCTGCCACTCTTACCCGCTCTGCCTCTTCTTCCGGCTCTGCCACTGGCAGCGCCAGCCTTCCTGAGGTCACCGACTCTGGTGCCAACATCCGCAGCCCCGTCGCTGCTATGCTCGGTGCCGCCGCCGCTTTCGCCTACTTCGCATAAGCGTTTTCCTTCACGACCTTATACTATAATTGTCCTTTTACGACATGTTAGCATTGGAATCTGTGGGAACCCCCTCCAGCATCTATTGTCAATTCGAGTCACGCGAGCATTGGCATCCGTGATTGGTGTGTCCGATGGGAACGCTATGCAAAGAGCTTGTATAGACGTAGCAGAAAATGATAATATGGAAGCATTTGCCTATCTATCCATGAACTTGCAAGTGATGCGCGCAATGACACCATGCCTCTTGTCTCATGATGTATCAGATGTAGCTTTGCTTGTGCGAGGACAAGTGCTTTCGACCTATGCGCACTTACCGTGAAACATCCGTTCCGCTTCCCTGCTTCTTTTGTTACTTGCGCAATGCTTGGAAGATCTCTATCATCGTAGCACAGACGTCACAATCAATCATCCGCGTGGTACCGCATCCATCATGTCTCAACGGTACCGTGGTACGAGGCTGTCATCATGCGTTACATACGCGCTATCTCCGCATGTCTATCACAGCAACCTGGTAGCACACAGCAGGTACTGGGGTTAATCACTCTTTGGCGTGTGCGCAACATGACGTCGCGTTTGGCGCGTGTCAAGAACCTGAAACGCGGAGTTGAAGATCGCATCTTGTCGTTCGTCGCGCCATGAAAACTGTGGTTGACTGACCAGGTGACCCCACAGCGGGATTGGTCCCCACCTCTCCACAGATGCATCAAGCAAGCTGCAAGAACCCGCTGCTCATTGCCACACCGTAACTACACCACAGCGATTCTCTCTTCTCCATCGCATATATCGCTTGAAGTCTTCAACACGCTGCTGCATCTTGACAAGCACACAGCCCCAAGGACGCAAACAGTAGCAGCACCAGCATCGCCACCATCAGCTAGCTTCTAACCAGCCGGCGTACACCGAGTTCCACCACTACTAACTACAAGTGCTGCGCAAGCCTACCAAGCAAGCCACCCGCCTACCAACCCAAAAGAGAGTAGACATGTAGCACTGCCCGCTGCCGTGTGTTGCGCGTCAAGTGTCTTGTATCACGCGGTCAACAGCGTTTTAATCGAACCAGGACTTGCCACGGCTTGTACACGCTAGCGCCGCGTAGTGGCGGCCAGGCCGAGGCTGATGTGCTATTAGCTTTGGAAGAGATGGACTGAGGCGTTGCATATCGAAAACGTCAAAGGACTTTCTTGCCAGTGCGGCGGCGCCGAAAGATATATTTAGTCTGTAGTCGCAAGAGAGGCTAGTCAAAAAGGCTTGAATCGATGGTAGAGCGGTCGCGAGCTGGGAGCTAATAAAGCGCAGTCGAAGCCGAGCCTTGGATAGTATGGTGAGTCTTCGCCTTTGCTTAGACTCACCGTTCCGAGTACTCTTGATCCTGCAAGCCTTTCGCCATTCCTCAGTCCGCGCCATATGCGAAGGCCACAGTCTAACGTTGGGCACCATTAAATGCCTCAATGCTTACATAGCCACTTCCCTCGCTTTCGGTAACTGACATTGTTGCATTCGCTGATACTTCGGCATTATGACCAGGTTGTTGCCATATCGTTAACCTTCGCTTTTACCTAACAAGTTGAGTCCAGCTGGGCTAGGATACCAGTACCGTTACGGTGATGACGATGACGACAATGCCAGGTAGAGCCGAGTTGAGTTGAACGAACTACACTACAACACAAAAAGTTTGCAATTGATCTAGTCGGCTCTTTCATGCTCGTAGCCACATTGCTGGTGCTATACCATGATTTCCGCAAACTCGACCTTTTCTCCATCTTTGCGTAATACCCTCATCCAAACTCCAATTAATCGTCAAGGTCCTACGGCTTTCTCCCCTCACTCTAGTAGCTCTTTCTCAGTCCCAGGTGTCGGCAAATCGTTCCAGTGTCTGTACTTGGACTTCTAGCATCGACTCTCCAACACTCCTTGTATCCACAGAAGTTCGCCCGCTGACCACATTACCCCTCCCCAAAATATACTTCCTTCTTCTCTTCACTCTACACGAATAGCACTCCCGCAGCCCCAGCCATCGCCCCCGCAAAACCCATCTTCTTGAAACCTCTCACTGGAACCGCAGCACCGGTAGCCTCCATAAGAGCTGAGGTACCCGTCGCGCTCTCTGTAGTGCTTCCTCCACTCGGCGTTCCCGTCGCACTCTGTGAACTGGGGTCAAAGCTCGCAGTTCTTGAACCAACAGCACTTTGAATACCAGTGATCACTGTAACATCTTCGGTCACCGTGTTGGAAGGCACAGGTGATGCTGTATCGACTGCTAGACTCGGTGCTCCAGCTTCTGATGTTGGGAGCGAGCTTGCTGGTGTACTGACGCTGTTGTCGACAGTAAAGGCGTCACCCCATGACGGGGTTGGAGATGCAGATGGGAGCAGGTTCTCTGTTGATGTTTCCGCTGCGGGTTTGACGGCGAAGGGCTCGCCCCATGACTGTGTTGTCGCGGACGAGATGCCAAGAAGGGAGAGTAGAGTCGTCTTTCGGAGGGAGGATTTGCGCATATTGGCGGTGTTTCTTCGGTAGGTCTTGGAACTTGTTGCTGTCTCTCCTCGATGCTTGGAACTTGCGTAGGTTGTTCTTGAGATGCGTACACTGAATGACAGTGTTTCAAGCTTCAAGGCGACGGCTTCTTTTTACTTGGATGCCAGGGGACCCTGCGCTCATCCCGATACTCCGGATCATCACTATCCACCCAGAAATTGCCTTATTGGGCGTGTAGTACTCACAAGTCTGACGTAAGTTTCCAGCACAAACAGCGATGCGTATCGCGTTAACGTGGTGAGACAGCCAGCCTCCTGGTTTCTGATAGGCTGCCAGTCCGGATGGAAGGGGTTTGATTGGTCGGGAAGGCTTAGTGCTGTCTCGTTCGGGTCTCCGCAATGCTGCCGCACGCGAACCACTGCCGGACCCCGAGATTTTGCGATGCCGAAACGACGCGCAACATTCTGCAGTGTGATATGCACTCATTTCTATTGTAGGAGAAGTGTACGTTACAAAGATGCTGGTGGCTTGCTGTGGCGCTGAGATCTACCATCGGAAACCAAGACACCAGCCAGTCATCAGAATCTTACGACAATAGTTGCAATTGCACTACGGATAGCTTACTAGGAGTCAAATCCATCTCTATTCATCAAAAGTTCGGCCATGAAAGAGCTCAACTACCATTTGACAAGATCCTGCACTTGAACAGGCATGCCGGTCTCCATGGAGCGATTCGCACCAACACCGACAAGGACAGCATTACCGCCATCCCGAATGTACGCAGCGCGTTTGAAGCTGTCTTCACCGTCGCTGGTAGCGATTACATCTCGAAGAAGCAGAGGGTCGCCTCCTCCGTGGCCTCCTTCGCTCTTGACAACATCAACGACATAAGGCTGTCCCCACAAGGGATACACCACAATATTTGTCTTCTCTACGCCGCCCTGGATGTAATTTGCTTCGAGCTCACCGAGCCCTTCGTTGGTGACAGTCTCTCCACCCGCTGAGTATCCGCCTTCAACGACATTGATCTCGATGCGGCCCTTGCTGCCATTGAAAACGCAGCGGTACCCCTCCCATGGCGCATAGGCATATGTATTGTATGTCATGACCGCTTTATTCTTGTATTTGATAATCATGGAGAGATTGTCTTCGATAGTGATGCCATCAGCGAAGCAGTTGCGGTCACGGATGTAGCCATCCTCATGCTCAGCCTCGAGGTACAATTTCTTCAGTTGGGCGTTCTGGTCGATATGAATGGCAAAAGGGTCGTCTTTGGCAGCCTCATTGTTGAGATAGCGTTCACCTAGGTTCTTCTCTCCGCGTCGCTCGGCATTTTCCCTACCGTAGAATCGTAAACTCCCAAGGCAGTAGACCAGCTCGGGCTCCGTGTTAAGCCAGTAATGTACCAAGTCGAAGTGATGAATTGACTTGTGCATCTGGATACCACCACTGGTGTCTTTGTTTCGATGCCATCGTCGCATGAAATCAGATCCGTGTGCGCAATCCAGAATCCAGTCCATGTGTACCGTCGAAATTTCACCAATGACTCCGGAATCAATAAGCTCGCGTAGCTTCGTGTGGTGAGGTGCGTATCGATAGTTGAAGAGAACTCGAACTTGCTTGCCTGTCCTCTTCTCCGCATCGATCATCGCTTGTAGTTTCTCTTCGTCGATAGTCATCGGTTTCTCGGTAATCGCGTCGCAACCCAGCTCCATAGCACGGATACAGTATACGTGGTGGAACTTGTCGATAGTGGTGACGATTACGACGTCAGCCTTTTGCTCTTTGACCATCTTGTCGAAGTCTTCTGCTCTGTACATCGGGACGCGTTCGCCGCCAATCTCCGCTATGCGGTCATTTGCAGCCTTCATGCGCGTCTCATTGGTATCGCATATACCAACGACTGCAGCACTCGATTTGAAATCTTGGATAATGCTTTGGTAGTAGAACGCGGATCTAACGCCCATGCCAACAATGACATAGCGCTTGATCTGTGCAGAAGTCATGACTTTGGGGAGGAGGCCTGGATGTTCAGAAGTAGGATATAATGGTGCTTGGATATGGAACTGGCGACAAGCAGAGTGGCCTTACACCCACCTTTATACGATATCTTCCTTAAGTCTGCATGATTCAAGGTGAATTGGTACTATGCATCATTAACAGTAGAGCATCAAATCAGAGATCTCCGTGGCAGAGCGAATTGATGGCGTCCAATAATCGAGTCTTTCGTTGCAGGTGTTCTGGTGGAGCAGCGGAGTGTGAGAGTGTAGGTAGCACATCGACACTGCTTCCGCTTGCTACACACTTCAATCGGCTCATGGCTCTGGAAGCCTGCTGCAGATATGGAGATTGTATGGCACTCGGGAGGGAAAGCACCGAAGAAACGGACAGCTGCAGCATGCCCCACATGTCGGTCACGCAAGAAACGATGTTACCATTTTGAGGACCGTGGGTATCGAAGGAAGGAGCGAACTTGCGGAATAGGAAGTCGACTGCAAGAGCCTCACCTGTACACTGACAGCGGCGATTCGATCCCAAGCCCCGGCCGCGTGAGCGATTACAACCCTGAATCTGTCCTCGCAGCTCTATCAGAAGACGCTGATCCAGGAACAAGCGCATTGGAACAGACAGCACATACAGCATTATCACCACCTGCGCGACGAGCTATGATACTCAATTCTTCTGCCGCATACGAAGCACAGCGCCGATTGAAGTGGTACGAGCAACATAAGATCCGGAGCACCACGCCGAGCCTATTCGAGTCATATCGGAAATATCTCGAGGAAGAAGGAGCTTTTGCGTCACTACCCAAAACGACAACAGACGCTCTCCTACCCTTGTACATTTCGACGTTGAATGACCTCACTCCCATCACGGATGGCGCTGCTGTCTTCCGAGACCACAGTAATGGACAGGCATCCATCTACTTGGTCAGAGCAATATGCCTTGTCGTCTGCAAGACAAAGAACGCCGCTCCTTTCTTACGTCTGACTGATGCCGGTCCCCTCTTGGAGCCACTAGAGTTTGCATCAAAGCTTCTAGCTGGACTAGATGCGGCCATCAAAGCAGATCTCGAACCCAATCGCATCATCAAGATCCAGATCTTAGCACTGATGCATCTGCACAACGATGGCCTAGCCGGCGTAGATCGCGCGTCCAGTTACTTGTCGCAGGCTATCTGTGAAGCGTGGTCAATGTGTATACACCTGAAGATATCTGGCAACCCCGACAACGACGAATGCAAGTATCTGTGGTGGTCACTTCGCAACTTTGACCGTCTGGGAAAGCCTATTATGGCAGCAGCGCCCTTCTTCATCGACGATGCGGATATCGGCGTTGAACGTATAGAACCGAAGAGAGATGACTATCGCTCTCAAATCATGGCTGTCGCTCTCGCTCTTGGAGACCTTATGACTACCGCGACTAGAGCTTACAAAGCTGGCGCTACAACGGCGGTCGATAGCTGCTGGGATTTCCCTTCGCTGTTACAAATCACGGGTGGAAGTAATTTCGATCAGTTCCACATGTCCCATCGAGGTAAGACGCTTTTCGACTTCACTCTTCAGTGTACTTAAAGCAACAGTATATTTGGAGACATGGTATCATGTTGCCGCCATGCTATCCTGTCGCTACAGCGGACCAGACACCGAACAATACAATAGGCGCCTCAAGTCCGCGGATAGAGTGCTCGAGATAGTCTCTCAAGAGGGGTGCGAAGGCCTTCCTCCGCTCCCACTGGTTCCTTACGCCATGTCCATGTCCACGACGGTCATCTACCGCGCTTTGCACGATCGTGTAAGACATATTGGTAAAGCAAGAGAGGATCTTCGTCAATGCTGCGACGCCCTCGACGACCTGAGTGAACGATGGACCAGCGTTAGAGGCGTGGCTAAGCTTGCAAAACGGCTTTGCAGACTGATAGGCGACGGTGCACACGACAGCTTGCGAGATGCGCATCGAGGTGGTACTACCACATCCAACAGCACAGTCTCAACTCTGGCCATACCCGTCAACAACGATGCTGTTACGGACCAAATAGGAGTTCTATATAGCGACGATGCTTTCCAAAGATACCTCACCGACACCTGGCCAAGCTTCGATGCATCCTACTCTCAGTTAGATTGGGCATTTCAGGACTATGGCTTGGACATGGAATTCCCCAGTTCGTACGATGACTTGCCACCTTGATAGGTTCAGAATCCGACAAAAGATTCGTTGACAGCACAGTCGGAATGAAAACTCCAAAGTATTGCATAAGAAACTCATAAATTCGTTGCTTAATCATTCTGCTCAAAGAGCCTGACCAACCGGTCTATTGCCTGAATACTCGCCATTTTGCGCATGCTCCACGCGAGGCGGACTATACGCAACATACTCTTGTTGCTGAATTCGCCCTTGTCCTTGTGTATTACCGCCTACATCGCCCAAATTCAAACCGTCTCTCTTGCCCGCATCCAACTCGCTGGGCGGTGGCATCTCTCTGCCGTCGATTTCCCAGACGTTGGCACTGGTCGGCATCTCGTTGCTTTCTGGTATCTTTGAATCGATATATTGGTGTTGTTGTGCTGGTTTCTCGTCGGAGTATCTGGGTGCTGGGGTAGAGCTAGATAGAGAGTGACGTGCAGCGACGGCGCCGGCACCGGCCCCCATTGCTGCTGCGCCTCCAAAGGTTGATGTTGATGCCCATGGTGCCTGGCTTCCAGACTCCATTGGAGATACAGGAGACATCATCGTTGTTGGCTGTGTTGAAGACCTGTCGGTTTGCGTGGGAAGGGTAGTAGTGGTAGAATAAGTGTTTGGATGCGGAATATGTGTGTATGCGCTGTTCATCGGCGGGGAGTGGTCGGACGAAGAAGATGCTGCGGGACTGGCCTCTTTGTCGTTCAAAACCGCGTTTCGGGATTTCTTCTTGCGGTGACGGAGGAGAAGGAGGACGAAGATGCCAATCAATGCCAGAGCAGCGACCCCTCCTACCACCACTCCAGCGATTAGACCTGTCGAGGGACCGGAACTTGAATCTGAAGATGATGCGCCTGCGGCAGCTGCACTCGACGACGTTGGTTCTTCCGTTGCGGTGCTTGAAGCTGCGCCCGCAGTTGACGATGCCTCTGTTGTTGTCGGTCCAGTGCTCCTCGCTGTACTGCTTGCCTCCTCTGTTGCACTCGTTGCCGTAATCTCAGCCGCAATGCTCGTAGGATTCGCAGGTGTTGGTAAAGCATTCACCACACTACCCGCTACGCTCTCGATGACAGCCGTAGGCACCGTAACGCCATTGCTCGACAGGACCGATGAGACATCGCCAACGATGCTGGATAACAGATCGCCAATCTGTCTCTGTTGAAGCTGATGATTCTTCCGTACTTTCTCCGCGCCAATGCTACCTGCCGCAAGACAATAGTCGCTCGTATAACTCTCGGCGATCGAACGATCCGGGTGCGATGTTGGATGCGACGCGTGGTTGTCGAAGCATGAGACGCGCCATAGGTACTGTTCGCACAGGCACGTATAGTCGGGAATCGGGGTGGTATTGCAGGGAAAGTAGCCCTTAACGGCCGATATGCAGGAAGTTATTGCACTAGATTGGTCAATGTCAGTAAACTTCGCTCCTGTTGACCAATTCGCGGTTGAGAATGCATAATTACATCTGTTCATGGTTCGCGCCCTGCCCAGCCGAAACAATGGGCCATCGCAACGCCGGCACAAGCTTGAGCAGGACACCAAGCATCATCAGAAGCGTTGTTGACGGATGAACGGACCCGGTTGAAGCGACAGCACCATCAGCGCTTTAACATAGTAGCCAGACCTACTTTCATCAGGCTTGCGAAGTGGCGGTAACCGGGCGTTCCATTCGTTGATCTTGCACCGGCAGAAGCGGGGACACCGACCCATCTATGCAATGCTCTGTTCCGAGCACCCGTCTCGCGATAGGAAACCTGTTGGCATCGATGATGTAGGTGTGGAGGTGCGGCTTACCTGTGGCTGGGTAAACCAGGGGATCCGTGAGGTTTAACTGGTGGGGAGAACTTTAGCCTCGTGCGCTAACGGGCTGCCCTGATGCCATCACAACGTGGAGACCATGAGTTTGGGCATGATCAACGTTTGTGAGACGAGAACGCGTTGAGCTAGGATAATTGACGTGCGCAATTGTGCTACGAGCGTCGATGCACCGCCACACCTGTAGTGTTCTGGGCCCGCGTGTTCTGTATAGAATGTGGATTTGTGATACTTGGGGTATGGTAGAAAGTGAACTGCCGACTCCAGAACGATGCTCCGCTGAAAAGAAATGGGTATTGAAGCACTGCCACAACCGTCCTCCAGGCCCTGGAAGTGTCCTTTGAGAGACATTCAATAGAATCTTACTTCCCGTTGGTACCATCACCGTGACCTTCCAACCTGTTTACCAACCTCTTTACGCCACTCCACTCCTCGCTACGTGTCTGGACACCTCCAAGATCATCGCCCACCTCGAAGATGGTGACGACGCCATCCATGCCTCCCACTGCAACTCTGCGCCCTTCGTTCCTCTCCCATGCCAACTTGTTCAGACTCCTGTTCATGTAGCCAAGACCAGTTGGCATGTTCGTAAACGCGCCACGCTTACCGTCACTGGGCTTGACCGATTGAACAGGAACCTCGACATCAACGTTGATATCCCAGACTTCGAGACTTCCCGCTCCGTCAACAAGGGCGAAGACAGAAGGCTTGACAGGCGACCATCGAACGTCATAAACGAGATCTTCGCGTGCAATGTCGAGAACGGGTGTCACTTGTTGCGTCGCACCAGGAAGTGTTGGGTTGGTAGCGCCTGTAGCAGCCGGCGGGCGGACCTTCCAAAGCTTGACGCTCCAGTCAACACTCGATGACAAGACAAGGTCCCCTAGATCAATTTGACCCTTGGCGGGGTGGAAGTCTAGGCTCATAACGGGCGCAGCATGGCCAGCGTACTTTACGCGGCCGTCTACACCTGCTTTCGCACCGGCTCGGTCATAGCGATGACATGGGTAAATGGTACCCTCTTCTGTGCCTGCGAGAAAGTAGGTTGGATCCGATTGCGGGAAGGCAATGCTGGTCACTGCCATATCGTCTGTCTTGGCTGGCGGTGGTGATGTCAATTCAAGGAACTCTTGGGGCTGTGAAAGCATGTCAACAGTCCATCCACACACAACACCATCAGTTGAACACGAGATGATGTTGTTTGCGTTCTGCGTTCCGACAATGTCTAACGAGTAGACGGGATGTGTGTGACCGGAGCCAGTGAGCGGTGTCTTCTGCACTGGTGCGGACTTCGCGCGAGTGTCCCATAGCAGCACTTGCCCTGAATAGGCGCCTCCAACAATAAGATTCGGGTGGAACGGGGAGAACTTTGCAGTAAGGATATCGGACTGCGCATGGAAGATGTACTCGGGTCGATCGTGCATGTGCAGGTTCCATACTTGTACGAGACCGTCAGGGTCGTGTGGCGCGGACGGGTTCTTGGTGTACGAGGCAAGGACGAGTTCTGGGAACTGTGAAGCATGTCAGTGTCATAATCGCCAGACGTCAGTTCATTCCATACCTTTGTTGAGAAGCCCAGATCTGAAATCATCCTCTTCTTGCTCCATCGCTCGTCCCAAAATTGTGCAATCTCCTTGATGCGGCGACCCTTCTTGCCTCCACTTGAACCGTAACCCTCATCGTCATCTTCGACGTCTACACCACCATTTGCGTAGTCCGCCAGAATGTCGTAACCAAGTTGTTGGTCAAGCGCTCGCTCCAGCACTTTCGTGCTGCGCTCAACAAAGCCGATGAACTCCTCCGAGTTCTCGACAGCCGTCAATTCTTCGTTTGTGAGGGTCTTGAACGGGAAGTTCTCTTCTGACCCCGGTTGTGGTGCACCCTCTTCTGGCGCTTGTTGGAGGACCTTGAGCTCTTCTTCAATTTCCTTGCGCAGCTGCGCCCGGATCTCCTCGTCCCTCTCCTTCTGTCTCCGGCTCAGCCTCTTGCTCTTCGGTGACCGCGTGGGGCTTTCGTCGCGCTCTGTGTCGCTTCCGCCAATTCCTCGGTCTTTCGACGGGGTCCACTCTATGCTTGCTTGTACACCCTTGCTGTATGTGATGATCTCCTTCTCCTTCTTGACTTCGTTGGTGACCTGGCCGTCGGCCTCGTAGACTGTCGCTAGCGGAGCAAGTGAGAGAGTCTGCATCTCTCGGTCAACCATGCCGGTAAGGGATGGGAAGCCTGTGGATCCTTCATTGTCGCTGCTCAGTTGGCCTGCGCTGACTACCGATGTCGGGCGGGTTGGTCGTCCTGCGCCTGCTGGGGAACCAGGCTGTGTAGAGCCGGGTCTACTCTCCCCAAGGATGCTATTGATGAGGTTGGTGACGTCGGTTCTGCGGTCGAGGTCTTCGCTGCGTCTGGGTGTTGGCGAGAGGACCTGTAATGTTGGTCAGCCACTGATTAGATGCGATTGTATTTGCAACCTACTTCTCCTAGAGGACTACCGGTCGTGGATTGCCTGTTAGCTGACTCTGCCTTCCTCAGTTCTCGCTGGCGCTTCAGCTCGGCCAACTTGGCCTTCTTTGCGAGAATCTCATCG